CAAGAACTCTTAACTTGAGTTTGATGTTTTAGTCCTTCAAATCGATTTTTTCACTAAGATCATGAACATGCAACCTTGTTTATCATACATGCATGGTGTTAGAACACATCCATGATGTTCTAAAAACCATTTTAACAAAAAGAAAACAAGTTTGAAGAAGTTGAAGAAGTAGAAGTCGGTTTTTGAAGTAAAATGCACATGCGTAGCTTAAATCATTGTTGTGGATCTTCAATAGATGTATGTATTTTACCTTAAATTTATTTGTGTCTTGAAAAACCCTTATGAATCTCCATAATTTCGTGGTTAATAGGTTGTGGTTGTGGTGTTTGGAGAAAAGAAATTAGAGAGAAGGTAGAGAGAGTTTTCTAGAGAGAGAAAGAAGAGAGATGTGTGTGTGTTGGAGAGTGAGAGTGAGAGAGAGATATATGGGAAGAGAGGTGTCCAAAATTTTGAGTATAATAACCCTTTCTCATTCATTTTGTTTTATAAAATTTAAGTTATTTTATAAAATATCTAAATTTTATATAAAATGTGCACTAAAATCAAGTTTTTATTCATCAAACCTTGATTTTTGACTTATACATTAAGGATGAATGTTAATGACTTAAAGTTTTATTTTCCTTGATTATATTTCCCTTAATTTAAGTGTTTTACGATAATATTGTAAGTTCCATAACTATTTTTATAGAATACTTGATGTCAAATTTTATAAAATTTAGGTTTTAGGGCTTTTAGGGTTTTGAAGTTTAATAAACTTTGAATATCAAAATAAATTGAATATTTGAGACTTCAAATTATCTTATGGTATTATAACTCTTTTATAGTTATAAATAATGTTTGTAATTTATTTTTATCGGTTTATTGGCATTCTATGTAGTGATTCCGAGATTCAAGCGAAATTGAGGAATCAAGTATACTAGTCCTAGTCTTCAACTTTGACTTAAGTTTGTATGAGACTTTGAACTCACTTCTAGTTATAGGTCAAGTGCATGATGTGTGTATATGATTCATAAAATGTTGTTTGAGTCAAAGAGTAACCCGAATATGGATAGTCACTATAGTTAAGTAGTTGTAGAATTCACATACCAATGTGAAATCCAAGCACATTATCCATTGTCTCTATCTGTTTCCAAGACTCTACTAGGTTATAACTTAGCTTCTAGTTACTAAGTCTAATATGTGTAGTGCCTATATGTGTAACTAATTTTATTCAAATCTAGAACTAACTCGAATTTTGACGATTTTCACAACACGCATGGAAGCCATCCGGATATTTCTAGCATACGCAGCAAACAAAAATGTCTGGGTACACCAGATGGACGTTAAGAGTGCTTTTCTCAATGGGGAACTAAAGGAAGAGGTTTATCTTCAGCAACCTCCGGGATTTGAAAGTGTTGAATTTCCAGACCACTGCTACAAGCTTGAAAAAGTAGTCTATGGTCTAAAACAAGCCCTAAGAGCTTGGTATGAGACACTCTCTGAATTCCTTGTCTCATCCGGGTACAAAAGAGGAGTGATTGATCCCACATTATTTAGAAAAGCAAATGGTGACCACCTTATGATGGTACAAATATATGTGGATGATATCATTTTCGGGTCGACTGATCAAGGCATGGTAGATGAATTTGCCAAGCTCATGACCAAAAAGTTCAAAATGAGCATGAATAGAGAGATTAATTTCTTTCTAGGTCTTCAAGTCAAACAACTTCAGCAAGGCATTTTCATTCATCAATAAAAATACACCACTGAACTTCTAAAGAAATATTCAATGGATAACTTCTCTTTTGCTAAGGTCCCTATGGACTTCAGTTATAAGATTTCTCCTAATCCCTCTGGTGAATCAGTGGATCACAAGACTTATAGAGGTATCATTGGTTCACTGATGTACCTCACCGCTAGCAGACCTGGCATTGTCTTTGCAACTGGTGTATATGCAAGATATCAGGCTGATCCAAACGTGCCTCACATGACTGCAGCCAAACAAATTCTTCGGTATCTTAAAGGAAGAAAATCAATGGGTTTATGGTATCTCGCAGGCAACGACTTCAGTCTTCAAGCCTTCACCGATACGGATGATGCAGGTTGCAAGATCGATAGAAAAAGTACATTAGGTGACCGTAGTCTAGATAGAAAAAGTCACAAGACTTCAAGGAAACAAACGTGTGTATCTCTATCTACTGCAGAAGCCGTGTATGTGGCCGCAGCCAGCTGCTGTTCCCAAGTTCTTTGGATGAAGACACAATTGCTAGACTACGGGTACAGAATGCTATGGATACCAATTTACTGTGACTCTGAAAGTGCTATAGCGATCTCTCATAATCCTATTCAGCACTCCAAGACAAAACATATTGAGTTACGGTATCATTTCATCAAAGATCATATTCTGAAAGGTAATATTGAACTCATCTTCATTCCTAATCATGAAGAGATTGTTGATGTTTTTACAAAAGCACTTGACTCTACAAAACTCAATGCATTCTTACAAATGTTGGGAATGATGAATCCAGACCCGCAATTCTTTCTGAAGTGTTAGCTACCGTAGACCATCATTGGTCTCCATTGCGGTTCTAACTGAGAATTACATATGATAGATGGTTTTGGTACCACAGTCTAGGTACCGCACCCATATGTCATACGTACCTCTCATGGGTTCTATTGATCTTTTATTTCTAACTTTTGTACAAGTGTTTTCTCACAGATTCTGTGACAACCCTATATTTTTCCAAAGCAATGTAACACTCAAAAGTCTAATACAACGAAACTATTTGGAATCAACGGTATTAACCTCAAAAATAAAATGTTCAAAATCTAAAGTTGGGATGCATCAAATGACAGATATCGTGCCAAGGTTTCCAAAAACATAAAGAACATTCAAAACTGAGTTATAATGAAAAGATTTCGACTACTCAAATATCCACGACACACCCGATAACATTATTTAACGTAAAAAGAGAAATTTCAATAAAATACATTTTAGCCTTAAGTATCTAAACAAAAGTCGTGGATTACGTTAAACGGTGAACGTGCATAAAAAGATCGCCCAAATTTGACCTCGTATGAAGAAGTTACGAATTTTTAAAGTTTCGTAACGGTAGTAGAGAGCTAAAAACACGAATTGAAGGTCGAACGATATTTAGATAACGCGACCTAAACGAGAGTTGAAGGTCTCCCCATCAGGAGTAAGATGATAAAATGACAAACGAAAATAGACGTCGGATAAGGAAACTATGAATTTTTAATGGACTTTAGCAGTCCCTGCCTATTAAAAACATATTATTAAAAATAAAGTCAAAACTAGCTGATGGAGTCTAAATGAAAGTTGTATAGCATAGTCTCACTTACGTGTGGATATAATGAACGCGAAAAACGGAGCCCGTACGCAAAAGTTACGAAATTTAGAAGATTGAAGTTGGGATTACGCCCAACGTAATTCAAGAGTACACCAAGCGTACTCAGGTGCAGGGTTGAGTCCCATCGGCTACAAGCTCTATGCCTAGATAGATCCGAGTCGTAGGGCATTACGCAAAGTTACGCCCACCGTAACCGAAGTACGCCCAGCGTAACGCATACACCCAACATACTCGCGTTTTCAGCTCTATAAATAGAAGGCATAAGCTCCAGATTTTGGCACACCTCTCTCACAATTCCACTCACTCTCACAAACTCATACGTACCAGAGACTATCCCGACGTCCTCGGTTCCACACTCGAGCCACCGACGAAGGTTCTACGCTACCAAGATACCCGAGAAGCTCGAATACGCAACTTTCCGCAGTTAAAGTTATGCCCGACTCTAGCCCCACTTTCTTCAAACCGAACATATGAGTTCATACCCCTACTTTTCAAATCTTTTCATGTTTTAGGGGGGAAATAAAAGTACAATACAAGAAAAATGTATCCACTACTAGGAAAACAGCCTTTTACGACGCTCATTGCGTGTCAAGGAAGGCCATGTCATAAAGAGAGATGACACGCTTTTCCGCATCGTCTATAGACGACGCGCATTTACGACGCTCATTTACGACGCGCAATTACAACGCGCGTTTACGACACGCAATGCGTATCAATGAAGGCCCTATCATAAAGGAAGACGACAAGCATTCGCGTGTTGTAACCTTACGACACGCGTGTTAATGACACACAATGCGTATCAAGAAAGCCCCTGTCAAGAAAGGACATGTCATAAATAAAGATGACACACGTTGTTGCGTACCGTAATAAATGTTTAAAAAAATATATTATTTATAGATTTACTAATTTTCAAATTAAATTTATATTAATGTCTCATAATAGAAAATAAAATATCATATACAAAAAAAATACAATCCATTGTATAAAATTTAATGTCATACAAATAATCGTTCCATGGAAAGATAAAACAAATCAATAGTTGTATTAAAAATTTAATGTCATACATTGTTATTAAGGGGTTTTCCCTAACTATATAACGTGATACTACATCCCTAACTATATAACCTGATCCTTCATGTCATTGGTTTGCCACATGGTGTACCACGTAAAAATGTTGAACTTGGTGTCATGGGTGGTTGACCACCGGGCATGGCTGGAAAGTAATTACTTACTGATAAGATAACAATGCTTTAATCCAAGATGAGTCAAGAATGCCCAAGAAAAAGAATCAACTAAACAAGCAAAAAAATTTATTCAAACATAATAATTTCAGTAATTTTATACATAAATAATAATGTAAAGAAAGAATTAAGAAGTAATAGTAAAAAAAAAAAAAAAACTTGGCCATCTTCTGTTAGAAACAACTCAACTGCAAACACACCAGCACCTTCCAATGAAGCAACAACTTTTGAAGTAATATCAGTTGCAAGTTTCATAATCTTCCATGACTCGTTAGCAGGGGATTTAACAATGTGGCATATGTTTTCCCTATAAAATAAATAAACATAAACTACATAACATTTAATAATATTATTATTATTAATAATAATTCATACCTTTAGCATAAATAATAAAAATAACTATATCACATTATGATCTTTCTTGCCTATGTACAGTCTCCACAACATGATAGCATGATATAGAATTATCTCTACCTCTTGCAACAATTACTGCAAGCTCCTAAAACAAACATGAAAATATTGAATTCATTATATTAGTATATTTTTTTTTATAAATATAAACTGAACTCCAAATACATGACTATAATATATACTAACCTTAACAAAAGGTGCCGATTGCTCGACATATAATCCACGACCAAATCCTCCTAGAGCTGCATATGAAAAATATATTACAACATTGTCAACGCTAAATCTTATTATAACACCAAAAAGATTATAAAATATAAATCAGTACCATTCATAGCAGAAGTTAATACTTCTTCACTTTTAGCAACAACATTAATACCCCTTCCATCATAGGCCAACCTTCTACATTTTACAATTAGAGGATAACCAAATTGTTCACCTGCTATTTTAGAACTTTCTTCATCTTCTATCTGTCCCACTAAAAAAATATAAATTTATCTTTTTTTTTTCAGATATATATTAATAAAATAAAATAGTCCTTAAAATCATGTATGAAAGCCTCCACCTGGTAAACCAAATCACTAAACCATTAAACCCACCTCATTTACCAATTAAACCAACCACCTGAATACCTCTCGATTCTGGCACAAGAAAAAAAAAATTAGAAACCCATTTACCTGTTTTATCCTTCGCCACTACACTCACTATCTGTTTGTCTTCAAAACTTCACCACCAAACTCATCCGAAACACCATACACCTCTCAGTCATGTTGCAACTGAAAACCAAATCTGAGAAATATACTTACCTACTCCGTTACACTCTCCACGAACCCATCACAACCGAATATTTCCTGCCTCCATCAAACCACCAAACTCACTGGCATCATTAATCGAGCCAGAAAATAGAAAAGCAGAAGACGAAAAAGAAATAAGAGTAACCCGAGACCCTCCTGCTGCCAATCGAAACAAAAATAAGGAGAAAAAGAAATAAGAGTTTTTTTTTTTTTTTGTTCCTGTGATTTTCGTTTGAAGAAAAATACCAAAGAAAGTTTTTTGTGTGTTTTTCGCATGAATCAAAATAACAAGAAGAATATCACAGACCTGGAGGCCACCACCCTCTCAGAGCCCACTGTTCATCATCTTCGTCTCGAACATCTCAAACCCGCAACACAAACTGGAAGCAACCACTGAAACAGTTGAATAAAGCCCTCTGATCAAGCTTTGATTTTTCATCCCCCTGTCAACATTTCCAGTGAGGCTGTCACAGTGGATTCTTTCCCACAGGCAACAATCCTTCCCCACCCATGAAGACAACATTCCTTTAGAGTCATCTTTGATACTGTGAACCTGAGAAGAGCAAGTCGCTCTTTTTGAGGGCAAGCCACACTAACATTTCCAACACCAAAACAAGAATATTTGTTTGCAACACTAAATCATATATATTTACTGAATCCCCAACAGCAACCATTGAATCAAATCCACATAGTGATATAGATTTCACCCCTATATTAACAGTATTTACAGAAGTAAATCCCAACATTTTATCTTTTTGTCCCACCCTGCAGTCACAACTTGATATGTGGAACCAAAAAAATGATAAATTTTTGGAACATGAAATATAAAAATGTAACAAAGTTAAAAGCACAATTTTCTCGAGAAAAAGTCACCAAAAGAGGAAGATGATCTTTTATTTATAGAGGAAAAGTATTCAACCGAACATGGTTCACAAAAATGTCATTGATTGTGAAGATTATGGTCAACCAATGCAATTTTATTACTCAATAAAAAGTTGAAAGGAATATGTTTTGACTTTGTTCACAGGAATCTGCAAAAGGGTAAATACGTAAAAACACATGGATACTTGTGTGTATAACATTTGGGAAGTTTATGGGTTGCTTCTTACCTTACAGAACATGTTAATTGAGAAGTTTTGAAGCAATTCATGTTGATATGTTCTGCTAATCCATGCTTTCCTAGAATGGTTGTATTTTAATCATAGTAGCATTGTTTTTTTATTTGTTGATACACGTTACATGCAAGCTTTCCTAGTGGACATAACATAACACCACAATGAGAGTTTGCCATTGGGGTGTCATTGTAAAGAAGTTATATACAGCTGATCATAGATGAAAGTTAAGGAAATACTTCTGCAAAACGACTGGCAGATTATAGCAGACTTCCTCAAAGCAAGAAAATACATCCTAGCAAAAAATGACAAAATTTAGAAGTAAAAGAAAAAAATAGATTTTGTTTCTAAAATTTTAAAACATATCATTTAATCATGATAAGAAAGTATAAAAACTCACTTGTTTTGTGCTTCGAGTCTTGTGGACCATTTCTGAGTAAAAAGGAAGAAAAACAAGTATGGAAATTTCAGACTATTTCACCAAAACTTGATGTGAAATTTATAAATATTAGAAAAAGGGTAAAGTTTGTTACCGATATTAGTAACACTAGGGTTGACTGCCAGGGTCAAACCTAGAAAACAATCATCTATTGTACTTTTACGGCTGAAATCCCAAAAATTTAATTCAAGATTTGGTAGTGATCTTTTACAATCATCACATATATTGTAGGTTTTTATCTGTCTTTGTAGAGTCTTGGCTGTACTGCTAAGCTTCTGTGCTTTCCGTGCATCTAATTCAGCCATTTGGTTTTCCCTATCTGCAAAATTATTGACATTTCACTTGGTGGATAGATAAGTTGACTAAATGCTAAAAGTTAAGCCATAAAAAAGAAATCTTGCATTCAGAGGAAAAAGCAACTTTTAGCACCTGATATATCTGAAGCCCTTATTTGGCCAGGATCTTTTTGCAGGCAACCTTCGGATCGTAACTATAACGAACTAACTCAAGTTACACACACATTGATGTGGCATGCTATGTGGCAATGCAACACCCTGTTGCTGTTGAGAATTCAAGAACAAGCAAGTTTTAAGGCATAGTGGCTGCAAAATACACAAAGCTTCCCTTATCAATAGAGTAGATGATGTTCATTATGAAATGGTAACTAATGAATTATTTAAGCAAGTTTTAAGGCATACCTCAATCCCCTCAACCGTTTCTCTGTATCCACCCAATACAGTCTTGTGTAAGTGTCGCCTCTGGGCAAATTACAGTTGGAGGGTGAAAGTCTGGTGGTGGTAGCCTGATAACAGAAGGGTAAAAGAGTCATAAAAAAAAGTTAAGAAATACAAATAATATAAAAAGGTAAATAAGAGTAAGAATGCTACTTTGAATTTTGAGGTTGTTTCTCACACCTCAATTTGTATGGTGCAAGTTGTGAAGTACACCTGGAAAATAAAAATAAAGCAAAATTAGCTCATTTCAATAATAAGAAGTTAAGAACATACTAAAAATAGCAATAAAAAAAACATACCGACTTAATGGAAAGTTAGCTAAAAGGGAAGATGATACAGGAAGTAATTTCCCTGCCTAATAAAAGTGAAGATTATGCTTTCCATTTTAATAATAAGAAGTTCAGAACTCTGTTTTTAAATGTTTAAACTCTAATGAAGTCCTGATCACAATCCCATTGTCTGTTGGTGTTATGTATATCAATATTTTTTATAAACAAAATGCAATTAACAATAATTCATTTACCTTTAAACTCTGATGAAGTCCTGATCACGTCTAGTTAACACCTGGACCAATAAAAAAAGAGTTTCATTATTCTATTTTACACAAAATAATAGCGAGAAATACATGTTGCAGATGATACTTTCGTTGATATCATAGTCTTGTATTGTTTGCTGAATTCGAATCAATTGCATCTGCAGATGTCACAAAACCATGAAATTTATGAGTAATCTTCTTCATACTACTCATTTTAATCAATTATTACAAGAGTAAATCTAGAGATCAGAATCTGTTATGAAGAAATCAAATTTAGCAACTTAACTTATCAATTTACTGATAGGAAAAAAGGTATCGCTCTAAAACGAACCCTAGGAACAAAAGCATGAAACTCAACAAATCATGGAAACTGTAAAAAAAATCAAAAAGAGAAATCACCATAGCGACAATTGCAATGAGGCTACAGAGAAGAGCGAGAAGGTAGAGTATTAAATCTTGCCAAATAGGAGGGTCATTTAACATACTCCACCACTTAGAAGCGTCTTTAATGGTGAACATCATTATCAGCACAAAATCAGACGGGCCTACCAAGGCCCTATACATTTCCGGAGATCCAATTAGTGGTGTTGTTGAGGAGTGTCGAGATCATGATAGAGTAGGGCTTGTAAACCAATATTTACCTTAATCTAACCTAGGGCTTGTAAACTTGAGCAATCGTTGCAGTCTATAGTGAGGTGAAGTGAGCCCAAGGTCGCCGGTAGAAAGAGATGAGCCGAGGTTAGAGTGAGTTGAGGTAGAGTACTCCTTGAAAAAGCCCTATATAATGATACTTTAACGTCAGCGAGGATGTGAACCTGAAGCGGGCCTTTAATTCTTAAATCCACACCGGAGTACTTGATCTGAGATACGAGCTTGGTTCGTTATTCCTTTAGGATAAACAAAAGGGATTTAGTAGTGGTGGAGGCGGATTAGGGTTTACAGAGAAAAGGAGAAGGAGGGAGTGAAGGTTGTCGGCTGGTGGCGTGCCTACTGTTGCCTTGATCGACGTCGACGACCGGGAATGGCACGTAACGATGGTCGAAGTGCGAGGGAAGAAGTAGGCGGCAGTCAATGTCGGGAGGGGGAAGGAAGGAGCGTTGATAATTAGGGCAAGTGGGAAAGGAAGAAAAAGGAAGGCGGGGGTTTTAATTTTTTAGGATTTCATTTTCCCCCCGGGCTATTAAAGGATGGAACGCGCGTTTCCATTAAAATTTATAAAACGACATCCTCAGACTACACACATTTTATTATAGGCGCCTTCCGTGTGTTTTTTATTTTTTGTTTAGACACTAATTTAAGGGTACGCAAAAATGCCCGTCCTAAATTCTTAAATTTTATAAAGAGATGACATTATTTTACGGTCACACACTTTTACGTATCATAAATTACGCGTCGTAAAAAGCTGTTTTTCTAGTAGTGATCGTTATAAATACAACATCTATCCTACTTTACGTATAAAGTTTAGTGTTTTACAAAGTTATTTTCATTAAATGGAACATACTTTCTGAAAAACTATAATGGGTATAGTTTGCGAGTTAATCATACATTTTTACGTATACATATTGAAAAACGAAATACTTTCATCTAAAGTAAAACAAAGACTTTCTTATCGTGAATCTGTTTATACTAAGTGATGTGAGATATTCAACTTCAACGTACTTTCTAGTATGCATTTCAAGTCCTGTATTATAAACCATAATCTCTTGGAGGGAGAGCGTGATACTTGTGTATGGATCTATACGGGATTGACAACCCCGCACCTAAACTGTTAGCTACAATTAGACCGGCAGGTCTGGGGTGACAAATGTCATAACACTACAACACCTGAAGAATGTTGTTGTAGGTAGTCCGTGTCGATAGTATGGTTATAAAACTCACACGAAAGTATAAAAACAAACTTGATTTACGAGACTCATAAATGCATTCAATATACACTTTATTTTGAGCACAAGATTTATCTTTTTCATTTAAGTACAAAAGATACTAACGCCATCCAACTTTGGGAACTTTTCAAAACTATATGTGGAAAATATTGGATTTTCTGGAAACTACATTCATCTACTTTCTTCCAAAATGATATATTTTTCAGTACAACAACTCTTATGAACTCACCAACTTTATTGTTGATACTTTTTCGAAACCACTTGTATTTCTCAGGGAATCGGTAATACAGGTAACGCTCAGTTTTTGAAGAAGGAATGCTATGGCATTTATTATTAAACATTTTAAACCATCTTATTGTAATATTCTTTTGTAAACATGTATAACGCAACAATGAATGTTTTTATTATTATTATTATTATTATTATTATTATTATTATTATATATATATATATGATGGTTGTGTTACTTTCTTTACAATATTCAATTGTTATGGTACTATGTGAAGTCATCCACCCCCGAATGTTTCCGCCATTCTTGTTTGGGGGTGTGACAGATTGGTATCATATCATTGTTTATAGTGAACTAAGTATATCAAACCAGATAAGATATACTAACTATAAATGAAAAAGGGGACCAGAAACCCTCTGACAACACGTTTTCATAAACGACATATTTTCTTTTAAAATATACATTTTTACACGCATGCATCGGTCTCGTATCATAACAAAGTTTTCTAAAAAGTATTAAGACGAGTTGCAACGCTATGATCGGGCCTCGAGGTATGTAATCAAATCGAGAATAAATATGGCCTGATCAACTATATTTATCCTGGATTTGACCAACGTACGTCGAGGAACGGTCGTAGTGGACAACAAGTAAAAAACTTACCAAATAAAAACTTTTGAACTTACAAATTCGAAATTCTATAGGAGTATTATTATAAAATTTAAGGACAATGAAAACTTGCACACCACAATATATAGCTAAATTCAGGATGCCATTAAATAGAAATTTCTTTTCTTATAAAATTCTTATATCTCTATCCTAGTACAGAAAAATGGTCAGATTCCATATATCGGGAGATCCCTACTACCCAAAACAAGGTAACGGCAGATGGATAGAAGAAGATATGGAAGAAGACCCAGAGGAAATCGAAGAGGAAGTCAAAGAAGAATTCGATATCAAAGAGGAAGTCAGAGTAGAATTCGAAGTCGACGAGGAGGTCGAGGAGGAAGAAGAAGCTACTGATGGAACAGACTCCGAGCTGGAAGTGATCAACCCTCCCGCTCCTCGTCCTCCCGAAGTTAGAATGAGTTGCCAAACTCCCATTCCCATCTGGGGAAGCCATCTCTACTACTGGAGCCATCAACTAGGTTAACACCCTCCTTTTGGCATGTGTCGAGATTTTTACAATGTCAGTGGGGGAGGCTCAGCCGATCGAGCGCTTCCCGTTATTGTGGGCACTATAGCCACCCAGAACTACCATGCGGACATGCAAGTGGCCAGAGTTCGTGAGATCAATGCTACTACACAGGGTAACGCCACAGACATCCGTCGTCTGGAAGGACTACACGAAGGTACCCAACTCCACACAGGGATGCTTCAAAGGCAAATGGAGGCAACACTTGCAGAAATAAAAGAGATGAAGGAACTGTTGGATTAATGTCTAAGTTCATAACTATAATTGGTAAGACTTGACCCGACCCGGCATGGTCCATTTGGGTTGCATACCATCATGCACTTGGATAGACTAAATGAGAGAAATAAGACACTTATGGTTATTAATATATTATAAGTTCTAGTATATTAATAATAAGAATAATGAGATTATTTAATTAGTATTGATCAAGAATTAATCTAGGATTAATTATGTGATCAAAAGAAGACTAATTAAATATATGGGTTGATTGTGTAAATCATCTATACTTATATAGTGGGCTAATGCTCCATGGATAATCAAGTTGGGCTAAACCCATAGGATGGTCCATGGATGCTCCATGGTGTATTTGAACCCATGGATCCAAGGAAATGGAAAGCCATGACAATTAGGATTTACCCTAATTGTAACACTATATAAGATCTTATTCTTGACAAAAATCGGCCACTAGAGAGAGTAAAAAGGGCTAGCCGATTTCATGAAGTGTAGAACTCTCTCAAGTTATTCTAAGTGTTTTGATGATTGTGAACCATTTGAGGTTCACACTTGGGGCTAGGCACTCAAGCTTCATGAAGACTTTCTACATCAAAGAGGTATGTATTCTATCTTGTTATATTGTTTTGTATGCTAGATTAGGATAATACCTTGGATGTTCATATTTGCATGTATAATAGAGAAAACATAGATCCAAGGTATTTAGGGTTGCATGTACACTTAGGAGTGTTAGAATGCTCAAACCCAACAGTGGTATCAGAGCCTAGGCTTGTTTTCTTGTTATACCTGCAATAGAAGCTGAAAAATCGAAATTGGTGCTGTCAGCCCAGCAGACTCGCCGAGTCCATGAAGGGACTCGACGAGTCCAAGGCAAAATGCATCCAACTCGCCGAGTTGTGTTCATGCACTCGACGAGTTGGACCCCAGACAGCATATTTTCGAGGTTTTTGGCTAGAAATGGACTAGGAACATTACCCTAAGTTGTTTTTGAACTTATAAACTTGTTTTTTAATGTGGTAATGTTCATGCTAATCCATTTTCAAAGATAATTGTCAATAGATTCATGTTTTGTATTAGTTTAAAGGTTAGACTAATTACATGAAAAAGTTTGATTTGAATTATCTTGTTCTTATGAGTTGCTTAGATTAATAGAAAAGTTAATTGAAATAGTTGTTTTCAATCCATTTTAATCTAAGAGTTGAGTATAAAATGTGTTTGTGTAACTTGTCCTCAAGTTACATGAAGAGTCACATTAAAGACTCATAAAACTCATAAAATTGGCAAAGGTTACAAAAATGAAGAGTCTAGTTCTAATTAATTGGAGTTATGACTCCATAATTTGTCCTCAAGTTATGGAGGACCAAGAGTCTCTTCATTAAATAAATAAAAATAAAAAAAAAATGTAACCTTAATTAATTCCATAAGTTATAAAATAAAGAAAAGTTAATTCTTTTATTAGTTTAAAGTCTTCCATAAGTTATGGAACTTGAAGAGTTTTTGGATTAAAACTACTTTAAACACATAAGTTATGGAATTAATTAGTTTTGAATAGTTTCAAAACTTGCCCTCAAGTTTTGGAATTTGTAAAGTTTTCTCTTATGAATACTTTAATTCCAAGTTAGCCCTTAGAATTTTAAAAGTTAAAATTCAACCCTTATACTTTATAATATTATAAGTTAATAATATATATATATATATATATATATATATATATATATATATATATATATATATATATATGTATAAGAGTAAAGTCAGTCTTACCGCTAGTACGCCTCATTCACGAAGCCGGTCTATAAGGTGGGTATAAGGTTGTTGCCTATAAAATGGCAACTTAATGGGTGTCCACTCTCACCCACCGCTTGCTTGACTGGTGGAGGGTCGTTAGCCGAACGGGTTTGACAGGACTATAATTCTCCCTTCATTAAAAGTATTAATGATAAATACTAAGTAACTAAACTCTTAAAATACCCAATCTTAGTTACTTAGGAAAATGTGAATAAGGTGCTAATCCATGAAATTACACTTT